TTCCCAATTTCCTCTTCGATAAAACAGTTCTCTCTTTCTCCTTTCTTTTATTCTCATCTCACTCTCTCTCAATAACCGAATTTCCCTTCCTGACCAACCAGTATATGCCATCTGTCCCAGCCCAAATATACTCCTTAACACCTTTCTACAATAAGAATCTTCCTATCACCTCCCTTTCTATCTGCTGCCAACTCCCTTACCTTTCTTTCCATACACCTTCATCATCGTAGTTTCATCAAAAAGCATGCCACGAAAACATTTTTACTTATATAATAATTCTTGAAATATTTAATGTGATACAAAAAACTTAAGAATGTCAAGTTCAAACTAGTACCTAAACTTTTTAAAAGTTACTGAAATTTAAACCCTTCTAAAGATCAAACTATCCACAAGCTACAGCTGCAAAGACCAAAATACCCTATGTTTTCAACAGAAATGGCCAACTATTTCTTGCAAAATTCTTCCCCCTTAATTATTTCATTGCACACTTCAAATTCTGCAATACAAAACAATGATTTTCACAAAAGTCTAATCCAAATCACAAAATTATGATGCAAGTTAAATTTCACAGCAACAAAATCTCATTAGCAAAAATTTTGAAAAACTAAAACTCTTAATTGTACAAAAAATGAAGAAACGCTAATCTTATGAAAGATGAAGTAGATAAGCCACAAAGATCAGTGAAGTTAGAACAAAAAACTGAAGTGAACTGTGAGTATAAGATAAAGAAGACAAACAGAAGGTGGCTAGGGGAGGCCAAAATTTTAGTTTTAATTTTTCTATGTTCGGAAATTTGTTTTCCCGATCAGATCTCTTTATACTAATTAGTTTCTTTAAATTAAAATTATATTATTAATTTAAAATCAGAAATAGTTTAGTAAACCCTGAATATTTTGCAAATTGACAATGAGAACCCACTAAATCCGGAAATAGAAACCTAGCCCCCATTTTTTACAAACTGATTTCTCAAAGTCATGAAATAACCATGGATGTCAAAATTTCCAAGTTTTATCCGGGTCTTGACCCGGTCCAGGCTAACAACAGTATACCCAACCAGGGATAGACCCGGGTTTTTGATGCCCCATGTGGTTTATTAGGGTTGCAATCTGAGTATGTGGACCCAGATTAAATATTTTCTTTAAAAAAAAAAAAAAATTAAAGTATGTTTAAACTACTGTGAAAAAAAAAAAAAAAAAAAAAAAATTCAAACTATTAGAGTTTGAGGTTTAGTTAAAATATAAATAGATGTTTCTTGCATAATAGTTCATCACAAATTGTTTTTTCATACTTTTCCATAAATTTTGAAATAAAGAATATGCAAACAAGCATAAGATCCCGTTAAGCTGTATTTTACAGATTCTGGAGACAAATATTAAGAAATTACAGCTATTCATTCAAAGGATTCATAAATAACATAATTTTTTCTTCTAATCATCACCAACATTCGAAATAATCAATACAACCAAGTTTCCTTCAATTATGTTAAGACATAACATCACATAAATAACTTATTCAGTTCACTAGAATTCTAATGAAATTCCCTTATACACCATAACGAACAACACTTCAAATGTTTAAGTTTGAGGTTCCCAAATATAGGCCAAAAGAACAACAAAAAACTTACGAAAATAAGAACAAAAAAATTTAGAAGGAATAAAAAATATACTTTTTTCCGGTGTAATGTATGGTGCCGCTGATGTGTTGCTGCTAAGTAGAGGTGCTGCTCCTATCAGTTTGAGCGCGATGGTGCCGGCTGTAGCCCTTGCTTCGTGTTAGTGGACTATTGCTTCAAGACTCAAAAGGAGAGGTGGCCTTCGCTTTGCGTGGTGGACTGCTGCTTGAAGTGGTTGATGACCGTGACTGAGAGTGGCGAGGGTGATTTAGGTGTCTGTGTTGTCTCACGGGGAAGGTGAGGAAGAGTAGATTTTTAGTTTTAGGGATTGAAAATGGCAAATGAAGTGGATCTAGGAATTTAAAGGGCAAATAGTCGGGTTTAGTGAGCCCGGCCCAGATATACTTTATGTTCGGGTAAATTACATCCGTGGAGAATTCGTGTAATTGATTAATCTTTGTATCTTTTAATTAAATTTGGTTTGGTCCAACGTAACAGTTACTTTTTTGCTATAAGCTTTCTTGTTTTTGCAGTAAAAGAAACATGGTAGTTGCCATTTTAAAAAATGCAATATGGAATTATATAGTTGTATTTTCATTCCTCTTTGCCACCATCATTATGTGTATATTGCAAATGTGATTTATGTCAGGAAAAAATGGAAATGGAGGCCCCTGCAAACACCCACAATACTTAATTACCATTTTCCATACACCTAAATTTAAGTGATTGGAAACACTGGCAGTAACTTCCATCCACCAAGGAAGCAATTCATGCTACTGAACAAGGTTCTGTTGTCGGCATACATGCTGTCCTTCACATCAATCCTTGCCACGGTAAAACTTCTGTGGAGGGCATGATTTCTCGCTTTGATAGTGTGTTGTTCTTGTGCCATCAAGAACCAGCCAAGATATTCTCCCACGAGTGATTCACACCATGTTATGGATGTTGAATATAATGTATACTTCTCTTAGTTTTGACGGATTGTCTGTTTACGATGACTCATTCAAGGGTGTCCCCTTCACGGTAAGCCAAATGTATAATTGGGTTTAGAATTAGTTTACTAATATTTGGACCTCGATCAGGTTAGATTCGGATAAGCCCAAATGGGGTTAGGGTTTTCTATTATGAGTATCTTATAATAGTGAGAAACCTAATGTGAAAAAGAATACAGAGTTGGAGTGAGCTATTACTGTAATTGCGTTAAGTTCTAATACTCAATAAGAGTTTTCTGTTTAAGTGTTGGATATAGTTTCTTAATCGGAACTAATCAAGGTAAATCGTGTATTCTGTCTTTTATATTATACTTTACTTGCGACGTGGTTTGTCTAGTGTTAAGGAATGTGTTGGAAATGATAGGGTTGAAAAGTACACAGACAGAGGTATATTACAGTGTGGAGTGAAAAAGCTGATCAATGCCATAATGCTAGATGGGACAATGGGGCTACTGGCATGATATCTGTTACCAGCAACTTGGTTCCCGGGTCCATGCAAGAACTTATGCTTGGAGGAAAGAAATCGAGTGGCTTTTTCAAGAGCGAAACCCCATTGCCTTGAACACGGCTCTGGCTCAGCTTGGGTTGCAAGGCCAGTTTTCAGATTACCATATGTACCTCTTTCTCTGCTAAAACGGATAGAATATGTGAATCTGGTGCCATAAATTGGGAGGGAGAATTTTGTAGGAGAGAAGGACATCCCAGCTCTTGATGATGATGAGTTTATCTTGGTGGGTCAATAATAGTTCGTTATTTTTCTAGCTCAGATTTCTAGTTTGCTTATGCAGCTGTTAGTGTGTGTGTGTTTTTCCTTTTTAACTTGATATTTTGTTAGAAAGAAAGTTGGGTAACCTTCTTGTTATATAAGTTAAATAATTGTTAGTATGTAGCTATCGAATCTTGTTTCGACAGATTCTCATGAACTGCTCAATGGAATTGCATGTTTAGATACAAAAACAGAGCTTGTTTTAAATTGGGTCTAACGAAAAATGCCCATCTCTTCTTGTGAACTTATATGAAGTTGTATGGTTTCCCTCCCATATAATTAATTTCATTGAATTTCGTCTCATACAAATTAGTATGAATGCATCTTTAGTGTTTGTGATGTAGATCCTGATCCTGCACGTTTTCTAAGCACAGCTATGTCCCATAACATAACATCATATCCAAAAATATTCATGGTCATAGCGGTTTTCTATATGTTTGGGCGTTTATGTAATGAAAAGCAAAACCTAAATGAAGAGGTTTGCATATTATTTACAGTTAGAATTAAACAAACGTATGGATTGATAATGAAATAATAATATAAGANAGTGTGGAGTGAAAAAGCTGATCAATGCCATAATGCTAGATGGGACCATGGGGCTACTGGCATGATATCTGTTAGCAGCAACTTGGGTTCCCGGGTTCATGCAAGAACTTACGTTTGGAGGAAAGAAATCGAGTGGCCTTTTCAAGAGCCAAACCCCGTTGCCTTGAACACGGCTCTGGCTCAGCTTGGGTTGCAAGGCCAGTTTCCAGATTACCACATGTACCTCTTTCTCTGCTAAAACGGGTAGAATATGTGAATCTGGTGCCGGAAATTGGGAGGGAGAATTTTGTAGGAGAGAAGGACATCCCAGCTCTTGATGATGATGAGTTTATCTTGGTGGGTCAATAATAGTTCGTTATTTTTCTAGCTCAGATTTCTAGTTTGCTTATGCAGCTGTTAGTGTGTGTGTGTTTTTCCTTTTTAACTTGATATTTTGTTAGAAAGAAAGTTGGGTAACCTTCTTGTTATATAAGTTAAATAATTGTTAGTATGTAGCTATTGAATCTTGTTTCGATAGATTCTCATGAACTGCTCAATGGAATTGCATGTTTAGATACAAAAACAGAGCTTGTTTTAAATTGGGTCTAACGAAAAATGCCCATCTCTTCTTGTGAACTTATATGAAGTTGTATGGTTTCCCTCCCATATAATTAATTTCATTGAATTTCGTCTCATACAAATTAGTATGAATGCATCTTTAGTGTTTGTGATGTAGATCCTGATCCTGCACGTTTTCTAATCCATAACATAACATCATATCCAAAAATGTTCATAGTCATAGTGGTTTTCTATATATTTGGGCGTTAATGTAATGAAAAGCAAAACCTAAATGAAGAGGTTTGCATATTATTTATAATTAGAATTAAACAAACGTATGGAATGATAATCAAATAGTAATAAGACCCTAATATATTATATTATTAATAACGGAGAAAAATTGAGAAAATGTAAAACTAGCCGTTACGAGTCCCACTCCTTGCTCCACAACGGTCATATTCTCTCCCTCGAGTCAAATATAACCGTTTAAGGGCTGCTATATAAACAATTCACATCACTACTTTAACCTTCAAAATCAAAATCAAAATCAAAACCAGCATCAATCTTCTTTCAAATACAAATTCTGCCAATTCTGACTAGTATAGAAAATGGGTATTTCTCTAAATTCCACCCCACAGTCCAATCACGTTCACACACACAAGGTCTTCCTATTTTGTAACTACATTCTACTAGGTGCAGCATCTAGTTGCATTTTCTTGACCCTTTCACTTAGGCTACTTCCTTCCATATGTGGCTTCTTTTTTATCCTCCTCCACATCCTTACTATAGCCGGGGCTGTTTCCGGTTGTGCGGCAGCCTCATCAGACTCTTCTCGATGGTATGGTGCCCACATGGTGGCCACGGTCTTAACCGCAATATTTCAAGGGTCAGTTTCAGTGTTGATCTTTACCAGGACTAGCGATTTTCTTGGTAACTTGAAGTCATATGTGAGAGAGGAGGATGGTGAAGTGATACTTAAGTTGGCAGGTGGGTTATGTGTGTTGATTTTTTGCTTGGAGTGGGTGGTTCTTACTCTTGCATTTTTCTTGAAATACTATGCCTACGTTGAAGGAGATAATATGAAGCGGAGTGCTAAGGTGGGTCAGGCTCAAGAGGAGGATTTGAAGGACTGGCCATGGCCTTTCCAAGTTTAATTTTTTTTTTTTTTTTTTTTTTTATGATCAATTTGGTCATGCCATCGTCAGTTTGTTTTGTTCATTCATTTATTGGTTTAATTTGTTGGGTTCTTTTCCATATATACTGTACCGAAGAATGTTGAATTAATGATTATATATTTCTACAAATTTGTTATCAATATCATGTTGCAAATTCTAAACACTACTGAGGAAGTACAAAAATGTTTTAGTTTCAACGCTCACTAAACAATGCTTCTCCATACAATGATTTAGAAATATATAATCATTGTATAAGTTTTAGAAACCAAGTTTTACATGGGAAAAACAAAGTCCAAACTCCATTCAATGCAATGAATTTTGAAACCATTTTTACATGGGAAAAACAAAGTTCAATCTCCATTCAATGAATTGAATTTTCAAACTAAGTTCTACATGGGAAAAACAAGTTCAATCTCCAACTAAATTATTCTAAGCCCAGGCCAATACTGTAACAAAAACAAGAGTTTTGAAAGTCGGATTACTGATTAAACCAAGTTTGCTGTTTGCCAAATAAGCTTACAATTACGCAATACATAGAAGAGGCACAGAAAAAAAATTGAAACTCTACGATGGCACACGGGCATATTTAAAGAGAGAGAGAGAGAGAGAGAGACAAAAAGATACAAAGGCACCCCAATTATGGCAGTCCTTTTTTGTTTATTTAATGTCACCAACCAGAAAACATGTATCTACAAAAACATCACCACAAAGTAGGCTAACCATCTTCTCCTCACAGAAGGTACATAAAAATGAAACTCAACTTCTAGTGCAGCCAGCACTTAAACCTTCATTTCTCTACCAAAAACCCAGCTAAAAGGGACATTAGATGTTTGCTTAGCCCTTCCTTGAGCTCTCTCTTCCAACCTCCTAATTCTTGGAGGCAATCCGCAGACAAAATCCTGAGCTTTACAGCCCTCCCCAGAAAGACCTGTCAACTTCTCAACATTCCATCTTCCCACCAGAAATTCCAAAATATCAGCATAGTCCTTTGCTGTGTAGACTCCAACCCGCTGGGCAACTGCTGAGAAGTGTTCAAATAGGTTATCATCCTGGCCATCATACATTAAGTGGGCTGGCATTGACACCTTCTTCTTCATCATGTCAGCTAGAGCCATGACAGTGCCATCAGGGTCAATCTCAAAGAGCTTCTCCACAATCTTGGTATAAGCAGTTTCATGCCGTTTCTCATCAGAGGCAATGATGCCACATATCTGTGCCAGTTTCAAGTCACCATGCTCCTTGGCCAGCCTGGCAGTGTTCCCATGGGAGATAAATGTTGCCCTCTCTTGGAATGAAGTGTAGATGAAACCAAGGTAGGGGCTGTTTTCTGTTTTAGGATCCTGAAACAGACATGTTAAAAAAGAAAAAAAGTCAACTAAATTTGAAAAGGTTGCAATTCGTAGAGAGAGAATTGGTCACTGAATTATTTGCTTGTCATATCCGAACCTTCAAATGATTGACAGTGAAAACTTGTTCAAGAGTATTTCAGATTTTTAAAACACCCTTTCCTCTGATTTGGGAGGAAGAACGCAAAGTTTTAATTCGCAGTAATTAAATCACAGCCACTTTAAACCAATGACAATAAAACTGGTTTAAGTCAAACTTAAGTTCTGATATACCAGCAATTTGATCAAAACCATTTTAATCAATGACAGGAGAACTGGATAAGTAAATATTAAGTTTCGGTACACAGGCAGTTTGATCGCAACCACTTTAATCAATGACAGGAACACTGGTTAAGTAAAACCTGAGTGAAGGGAAGAAGAATCTCACCATTCCTGAACCTATTAGATACTGAATTGTCTTCTCAATTTGCTTCATGTCTACACGTCCAGAAAGGTAAAGATACTTGTTGAGGAGGTCACCATGCCTATTTTCTTCAGCAGTCCAAGCCCTCGTCCAAATCGCCCAAGGAGTGAGACTAGCACCAGTCTCATCTCGAACCCCATCCAGGGTGTTCAACATGGTCTGGTAAGTAGGAAGGGCTTCTTCTGTAATCATATCTCCAACCAACACAACAAAATAGTCATCTGGAAGTTCCTTGCATCTTTCCCTTAACTCCTTGACTTGCTCATAGAATCCTTCTGATTCAGGTTCAGGCAGAAAGTCCACTGGTTGCCAACATTTCTCAACGGGCTTTAGGTGCACCAAGAGGTTCTGCTCAGCCCAACCCTCCAAGGATTTGAATATCTCCATCTTTTGTGGTGGCATGGAGTGAGTCACTTGAACATGTACTTCTCGTGGAGGACAATAGGGCTTCTTCAGATTCTCAACCTCTCTGTAACAGTAGAAGAAAGAAAGCTTAGAGACAAGAACTTTGATTGGACAATGGAACAAGAATAAAATATACTAGTCTGAAGATCTCAAAATCTAGGTCACTGTGATTTAGGATCTAAGAGGCATTCAATATGGAAAAGAAAATAATAATCCGCAAAAATTACAGGGAATAAAGGTTCTTTCAGTTCATTCTTTCAAAATTTTATACTTGGAATGAGCTGAAAACTATAGAAACGGATGGCTAAACAGAAAAATTGTATCTTACAGATATTGTTTATAAAGTTCTACTTGAAGAGAAATACGAACTAGGCATGTTTGGAAAACCATTTGATAGAACATATGTTCTACGAGCCATTAATGATGTTTCATTGCTCTTTCAGAGGTACAACCTCTAGATCAGATAAATTCATTTATTTCTGGCAACATGCAAGTATTAAGAGAAAGAACTATAGGATGTTTGTAATACCATGCAAGTAATTATATAATATGCAGTCCTATGCGAAATGCATAATATAGTATGATGGCCATTTGAAGCCGTTCCTTCCTGGATATAGTTCTTAATGCATCATATTGGTTAGATGTTTAAGGAGACAAGTAACTGTTTACTCTGTCTAGCAGTTTTACATATCAACTCTAAATCCAGCTAAGAGATTGCAGAGATAAATAAACCGGCATGCCTTTCCCACCAAAGGGGAAGAAAAAGAAAGAATGAGTTAATTTTATTCTTACCAATAAAATAAATAAACCAGTCAACCAACACGACCTAGTTCCAAAAGACTAAGTTAACTCACAAAATCAGACCTAACTCTCAACAAATGAAAAATAAATAAATATACACGGTAGGTAATACGTATATATTTCCAAAGCTTAGAAAGACAAACAGAAAGTACCACATGCAATTAACAAAGCTCATAGAGACCAGTTAAACAGAATAAAAGTTAAAAATTTAGCTAGATTATGACAAAAATACATGAAAAAGAATTCCGTATTGATCAGACTGAAATGCAGAGCATCCATTTGAAATCACATACAAACATCAAATTCATTGCCGAAGCAAAATAAAAAGTAGAAAGAAGAAATTAATGAAACACAAAACAATCTCAATCAGTTTAAAAAAAAAAAAAGACAGAAACATATGAGATCGAATGAAACGACATGATTTAGCACATCATCGAGCTCATATAACATTAAACTAGATCAACACAGTCACCCGAAACTCGTCTTTAACCAAATAACCAATATCTGTAAACTGCAAGTGAAAAACAGAACATATGGGAAAAGATGTGTATTAACCTTAATTAGAATCAAACACAGTGAACCCATACCAGCTAAATAAATAAAGAATCAATTTTGTTATTATAATCCAATAACATATATTAAAAAAACAGAACCAGGATTCAAACTGAACAATAAAATTGTAAATAGGAAAAAGAAATACTGACTTAATGGTAGGAGGGCGGAGAGTAGATGCCATGGAGACTCTTGGAGATCTGAGACAGTAGTGAGATTGAGAAGGGAGTTTGTAAGGTGATGATGATGGGAAGCTTAACGTTGGATTGAGCTTCAAAGCCATTATTGTTGATTTAGTTGGGAAAAAAAAACAAATGAGATTGTATGGGGGAGTTTGGAATTATGAACAAAGTAGTTAAGTGGTGAATGTGTAAGAGAAATGCAGCGAAGAAGAAGAAAGGAGAAAGCTTTGAGTTGTGAATGTTTTGATACAAATAGAGAAGACAACATATGCACCAAATCAGGCAATGCAAGTCTATAAAGAGACGAGTTTATTTTACAAATGCCCACTCATTTCTGATTTAATTACTCATTTGCCATTTTTGTCAATCTCCCTACAGGCTTTTCCTTTGAAATAACTTTAAAACCCATAAAAATAGTTGTCCAAATAAATATGATGTCAACAAAATGTCATGTATAGTTTAATTATTTTAGTAAATAATAAATCCAAAATTGACTATGAAGAAAGATAAACTGATTGAAGTAGTTCCTTTAATAGCTGATGCATGGTATGTGTTTTTTTCTATGGTGAAGTCCTAAAGTGGTAATATGAGTTGAAAAATGGTGGTAAAAAGTAGGTCCCATAAGAAATAAAACCCAACTAATTCGACCCACCAGATTGACGTGTGTTTTCAGTATTGATAACAATTAACGGAATTTAGTAATATTTAATTAATTATTTTAAGTTATCAAAGAACCACAATGTTATTAGGCTCTTTACGTAACTATTAGTCTTATCGTATACTTTACCCAAATATTAATATTAATTGAACTAACCTATCTTTCTATCTACCATTCATCCATACAATTAATTAATTGTTTTCTTTAAAGTAGAAGTTGGTCCCTAATTCAACATTATTTCAGAGCCCAAACACTAAATTACATTCATGCAATTAAACTCTTATTTTTCTTCAACTGAAGGGAACCTTAACAAGACCATCTCCTTTTTTTTACCCTATCCAATCTTCTAATCCTCATAGCCAATTCACACACAAATTCTTGAGCTCTACGCCCCTCGCCCGAAATATCTCTCACCTTATCTACATTCTATCTTCCTATCAGAAGCTCTACAATATCTGCATAGTCCTTGGCTGTGTATACTCCAACACGTTGCGCAACAGCTGAGAAGTGCTCAAAAACTTTATCCTCTCCCTCATTATATACATTATAAAACTTGATCCTATTCGTGACTCTGAAATGCTGCGAAGGGAGCTCCCTATGATCCGATAGGCTTGTCTGCGGGTGTTGGTTCTCTGCACAATTTTCCTAAAGGAAGCTGCTGAATTTGGTCTTTGTCTTGCTGAAATTGGTGAGATGATGAGTAGGGAATTTCGTGCTGGGGAAGAAGAACCCAGTGAACTGGAGATTATTTGTATTGAAGCAAGGCGATTGAGAGAGAAGTGTTTTCACCCCAGGCAGATATGGGACATGATGAGTTCCAATTTGATATAGATTGTGAGAAAACAAAGTTTGACCTTCAGTTTCAGACTCTTTCTCCAACAGCGGTGGCGAAGGAGAGAAGAAAAAAAAAGGAAGAGACTATTCTGCCCTTACTTAAATGGGACTTTTGAGTTTTGACTTTTAACCAGCTTGCTCTTCTTCGCAACAAAAATTTTAACAGATCTATGTTGAGGGTGGTAAAATTGTATTTTTAAACTTTTTGGGTGGGAAAGTCTCATTATACCAAACCTTGGGTGGGAAAAATCGTTTACTCAAGGAGAAAACGCATGAAATTAAAGAAATATATCAGATAAAGACAATAGCATGCCAAACAGAAACGCAGATATAACGTAACGTTTGCGGTAATTTGGGTTACTCATTTAACAAAATTACATCGAAGAATCCACTTATTCCAATTAAATAACCCAAAAAAACAAAACTCTGAGTCAACACAAGCTACGATGCAAAGAACGAAGACTGTGACTTATAGACTCGTACAAGAAGACAGAAACCCGCTTACAGACAACTACTCTCTTGAGAAACTGGACATGACATATTCATCTGTCAAAAACCAGAAGAATAGATTGAGTTTATATAATTAAAAGAGCTAGCTTAATGTGGTGAAAAGATTAGACTAGATGGAGACTCTAAGAGTTGGAGATCTGATGCCTTCACCTTGGGACAACTACAAGAAGGGAGGTTGTGAGATAAGAAGCATTAGTGTGCTCAGTTTCAGAAACACATTTAGACAGAGGTGCATGAATATAAATTAATGGGGCAAAAGAAAAGAAAGAGACTCCTCAATTCAATGCTTTTTTATTTCTAACAATGTTTTGATAAGGGAGGTTTAGGGAGTACAAGGAGGAAATTGTTTTTACTTTTTAGTTTCAGAGCCATATTTTCTTATTTCAGCTTTCTTCTGTTTTGTTTTTCCCGGCACTGACACAAAGAGGAAACGCCTTTAAAAAACTGCTTTGGAAATTGTGTACTTTTTAATAATATGTAATGTAAGGTGTGCTGCAGAAGAAACGACAGAGTATGGTAAGGATAAGTAAAATGAAGTGGAAAGAGAATCCAATATAGTAGACTGATTTTCTTCTTAATTTCCTACTGTTTTATGCATATAATTCATATAATATTTAGTGTTATGTTTAGACCAAGCAGCCATTTAAGTAACTATTGTATAAGTCTAGCCATGTTAAATCTCAAGTAATATATCCATATAATCATTTATTTACTATTATTAATTCCCGTTTATTCTTTATTATTTAGTTTAATAATACATCATACAACGACAATTGATTGATGCATGAGTATTAATGCATTCACCATCCTTAAGCTTTGGTACATATATGCTCGGTCTTTTAAGAGTAAATCAACTACCTCGACTTCTGAATAATTAATTGGAAGGCAGATAGAGTAGCTTAAAATTTCCGTGCCATGGGTTAGACAAAGCCATTTACGTAGACTATACTCATTTTGAATATCTAATTAATAATCCAATATTCATCAAACATTTATGCTATCTCCCATCACAAGCCTTATCCTACCCTACAACAACAAAATTAATTGTACGCACATTCTTATACAGAAAATATGTTGGAACATGTGCGGTTCAAAGAAAAAAGTGCAAGTTTGGAAAACACAGATTTGCTATAGCTATAGCAAATTTATCCTAGGCAAATTAAATTGAGTAAATATCATAGAAGATGGTAAGCATACTGTAAGTTTATTAAAGTCATCACCCATGACAAATGCATATTCTGCCCTTAATTAAACCCTTACTTTTCTTCCGAAAATCCAGCTGAATGGAACATTAACACTAGTCTTAGCTTGTTTTGCCTTAGCCTGGGCTTTTTTTTCCAATCTTCTAATCCTCCTAGGCAATTCACACACAAAATCTTGAGCTCTATGCCCCTCACCAGAGAGACCCGTCAGCTTCTCCACATTCCATTTTCCTAGAAGAAATTCTAGAATATCTGCGTAGTCCTTGGCTGTGTAGACTCCAAGGCGTTGAGTGACAGCTGAGAAGTGATCGAAAATATTATCATCTTCCCCGTCATACATCAAATGTGCTGGCATTTTAATCTTTTTCCTCATCATCCCATCTAAAGCCAACATTGTGTCATCCGGGTCTACTTCAAAGAGCTTCTCCACGATCTTTGTGTACGCAGTTTCATGTCTTTTCTCATCAGCAGCAATAATACCGCATATTTGTGCTAGTTTCACATCTCCGTGCTCCTTGGCCAGCCTTGCCGTGTTACCATGTGAGATGAATGTTGCTCTCTCTTGGAAGGATGTGTAGATGAATCCATTGTAGGGATTTTTTTCAAATTTAGGATCCTATATTAATTAAAATATACGTTCATTTTATGAGTAGATGATAAGTGGTACTATTAAATTAAATTTATATGAGAAGAATTATCTTACCATCCCTGCTCCTATGAGATACTGAATAGTCTTCTCAATCTGCTTCATGTTGACTCGTCCAGAGAGGTAAAGATACTTATTGAGAAGGTCACCATGTCTATTTTCTTCCGCACTCCAAGCCCTTATCCAAGTTGCCCAAGAACCGAGGCTTGCACCAGTCTCATCCCTTACCCCATCAAGTGTGTTGAGTATTGTTTGGTAAGTTGGAAGGGCTTCTTCTGTAATCATATCACCAACTAATATAACGAAATACTCATCAGGGAGATGACTAACTCTTTCCCTCAATTCCTTGACTTGATCGTAGAATCCTTCAGTTTCAGGTTCTGGCAGAAAATCTGTTGGTTGCCAACTTTTCTCAACAGGCTTTAGGTGCACCAACACATTCTGCTCAGCCCAACCCTCCAAGGATTTGAATAATTCAATCTTCTTTGGTGGAATGGAATGAGTAACTTCACCATATACATATCCTCGACGGCAAGACAGCTTCCTTAACTTCTCGACCTCTCTGTAATAAACAGACAAGAATTAAAAATTCCTAAGTAATTAAATAATTTATGCGTGTTTTAATGTAGCTAGCGCTAATCTAGCGATATAAATCACAAATATTCAAACGCCTTCAAATCATCACCAAACAATGATTTTTAAATGAATTTGATAATATATACTTTATACATTTATAAGCATGCATACAGAACTTTAAGAAACCTGCATGCATGTATATGTTGCATCTTGGCAAAAATTACTAGGCCAATTTAATTGATAACTATGAGCTGTTTCGGATCTATGAAAACAGGAAAAAAACCCAGTTAAAAAAATTGTATTTTTGAAGGGAAGAAAACTCACTTGGTAGTAATAGAAAGAGTAGAGGGCATGAAGTGTCGTAGAGATGTGATTCCATGGGATTGAAGAGAAGGGAGGTTTAAGGACAGGGAGGAGACTATCTTCAGTTTCAGAGCCATCGATCTCAATTTTTTATTGTGTTTAGTAATACATGGCACTGATACAAAGGGAGAAGAAATGGAGAAGACGAAAAAGAAAAAGAAACGAAAAGTGAAAGGAGAAAAGGCGAAAAAGAAAAGGAAAAGTGGAGAAGCAGAGGAAGAGAGTAAGAGAAGAAGACGAAAAAGAAAAAGGAAATTGGTGGAGGAAGAGAAGAAGAAAGACTGAAAAGTCTGAAAAAGAAAGAGAAAGTAGTGAAAGGAGAAGAAGACGAAAAGAAAAATAATTGAGGGGAGAAGCAGTCTGCAATCTGCATAGTGCATACCCAATACCCTTATTTATTTTTTTCAAAACCGGTTTTTAAAACGGATTCCGTTAACCGGTTTAATATTGTCCTTGAACAGTTAATCAAACCAAAAATTCAGTTTAGTTATTTTTTAAAACCAAAACCGAATCGATAGAGATAACAGTGAGCCCAATATTTTTAGGTACCCGGCCCATCCTGTTCTGTCTCGAAAAAGTCAGATTTTACCTGATATTCGCGAGTTTAGGCTTGGGCCTGATTTTAAGGCCCAACCTCGGGTACAAGTCGAGCTTGGGTATATCTTCAGGCCCGGCCCAATAATTTTGTATTAATTATATTATATATTTAATTACAAGATTATCCTATATATATATGCTTATTTTTTTCAAACCCTACATGGATTGATGGATGCACTTTATGGAAAGTTATTTACATATTTGATGAGTATTAAAAAAAAATTAATATTTAAAAATTATTTCTAGAATTAAAAATATAAAAAAATTAAAATTTATTATATATTTAAAAATTCACATTACAAAAATGGGCAAACTTAGGACAGGCCTAAGGTTACAAAAAGCCCGTCGGACCAGACTTCGGCTTTACCTATCATACCTGTAACGGGCCTAGCCCGGGCTTAGGCCTTTGTCATGAGGTCAGGCTTGGACCTCGGCCAAAGGGTACCCAGTCCCAGCTCGGCCTATTGTCATCACTACGAACCGATAAATATGAAAAACCGATTTTTCGATTTAGTTTTGATTCAATTTTCCGGTTCGATTTGGTTTTCAATTTTTTTTTGGGTAGCCCTAAGCACCTTTTATAACGAATTGGCTTTTGAAACCGTGTACAAACGAAAAAGGAAAATATTGTCTCTGTTTTACACTTCTCGATCTATTGAAAGAAAGTCGAACACATATAAACACATACTTTAAATTGAGTTTCAAATTTAACCATATGAAAATGGGTATTTTTATCATAATTGTGCTCAAGCTTTTGAAAATTGGGGCAACCAGACACAGAGCTGCGTGCGTGCATGATTATACGATTGACTAGCGGTAGATATATGAAACCGCACGCTAACATTACTATTACTATAATTAAATACTGTTAATTTAATGATTTAAAATATATTAATAAATTATTATTTATTACTAGGCTCTTTAGTCTACCAATTTGGACTTTCAAGTTCATCATCAAATTAAGACTACATCTTAATTCACATCACATGTCTTGTCTTATACTACTTTACCCAAATATTAATTGAATGCCACATGCTTATACGTGTCATCCATGCCTTCTAACATTGCTTACCTTTTTAAAGAACAAGAAGAAAATTTTAGAGGAAAAATATTTGTAATCCATTGACTAACCGATCTTTTTAATCAAAATCACCGTCTTTCTGTAAATACATTCAAAATTATTTTATGGGTTTATTTGCAAGGGAAACTATTATTAGATTTATTTATGATCAATTATGGTTTTAGATATAAATGCTTAGAGATCTAGTAGATGCATGTATGACTTAAGCTTAACGTTTTATATCAATTACATGGTATAATAAATAGATGCACGCATGAATCTTTAATTTAAGTTTCCAAAACCTAATTGTCCCTTGAATTTCATGGAACAGCCAAAATCTTTTTTTTTTTTAATTTATTTAAATTTCATATGAATCCTTGCTGTTTTATAATATTCTCTCCGTTTCAATATAACTGTCGTCTTAAGTTTTTACACAGTTTTTAATAAATAAAAAACTGTGCAGAGAATTGACTTTTTCCTCATATTGCAGGTGGGAAAATTTTGTTTCCCCCGTTGAAACACATGTGTGAAATATTAAAATAAAGAGAGAGAAATTGTGAAAGATAGGAGATGAGGGGAAGAGATAGATAAAGAGAGAGAGAGAGAGAGGAGTGTGGGGCAGGGTAGAGAAAAAGATAGAGAGAGGAGATGAGGGGCAGAGTGGAGAATAAAAACGTGAGTTAAAAAATAATGAAAGAAGAAAACGTCATTTATTTTGAAAGAGTTAATACCCTCAAAACGACTTTTATAAAGAAATAGAGGAAGTAATATGATGCATGACTATCAATTCTTTGTGGATCATTTCTTTCAATAAAACTCTTCTAGTAACTTACTATAACACATACTCGATCTTTTGCATTTTCCATACTAAACACACTAACTATAATTCTTTTTATAAATTCTAGTCAAGAGACGCTACTTTTTATAAGACTATTCCTTTAGAAGTTGTATCATATGGATCCTACAGAGAAAATATCTTGACCTGAATGTAATTAAAGGATGCCTGTCGGTGGCAAATTCAATTGAGTAAATATCATAGAAGATGGTAAGCATACTTGTAAGTTTATTAAAGTGATGACCCATAACACATGCATATTCTGCCCTTAATTAAACCCTTATTTTTCTTCCGAAAATCCAGCTGAAGGGAACATTAACACTAGTGTTAGCTTGTTTTGTCCTTGCCTGAGCTTTATCTGCCAATCTTCTAATCCTCCTAGGCAATTCACACACAAAATCTTGAGCTCTATGCCCCTCACCGGAGAGACCCGTCAGCTTCTCCACATTCCATTTTCCTAGAAGAAATTCTAGAATATCTGCGTAGTCCTTGGCTGTGTAGACTCCAAGGCGTTGAGTGACAGCTGAGAAGTGATCGAAAATATTATCATCTTCCCCGTCATACATCAAATGTGCTGGCATTTTAATCTTTTTCCTCATCATCCCATCTAAAGCCAAGATTGTGTCATCCGGGTCTACTTCAAAGAGCTTCTCCACGATCTTTGTGTACGCAGTTTCATGTCTTTTCTCATCAGCAGCAATAATACCGCATATTTGTGCTAGTTTCACATCTCCGTGCTCCTTGGCCAGCCTTGCCGTGTTACCATGTGAGATGAATGTTGCTCTCTCTTGGAAGGATGTGTAGATGAATCCATTGTAGGGATTTTTTTCAAATTTAGGATCCTATATTAATTAAAGTATATGTTCATTTTATGAGTTTATGATAAGTGGTACTATTAAATTAAATTTATATAATAAGAATTATCTTACCATCCCTGCTCCTATGAGATACTGAATAGTCTTCTCAATCTGCTTCATGTTGACCCGTCCAGAGAGGTAAAGATACTTATTGAGAAGGTCACCATGTCTATTTTCTTCCGCACTCCAAGCCCTTATCCAAGTTGCCCAAGAACCGAGGCTTGCACCAGTCTCATCCCGAACCCCATCAAGTGTGTTGAGTATTGTTTGGTATGTTGGAAGGGCTTCTTCTGTAATCATATCACCAACTAATATGACGAAATACTCATCAGGGAGATGACTAACTCTTTCCCTCAATTCCTTGACTTGATCGTAGAATCCTTCAGTTTCAGGTTCTGGCAGAAAATCTGTTGGTTGCCAACTTTTCTCAACAGGCTTTAGGTGTACCAACACATTCTGCTCAGCCCAACCCTCCAAGGATTTGAATAATTCAATCTTCTCTGGTGGAATGGAATGAGTAACTTCACCACATACATCTCCTCGACGGCAATACAGCTTCCTTAAATTCTCAACCTCTCTGTAATAAACAGACGAGAATTAAAAATTCCTAAGTAATTAAATAATTTATGCATGTTTTAATGTAGCTAGCGCTAATCTAGCGATATAAATCGCAAATATTCAAATGCCTTCAAATCATCACCAAACAATAATTTTTAAATAAATTTGATAATATATACTTTATACATTTATAAGCATGCATACAGAACTCTAAGAAACCTGCATGCATGTATATGCTGCATCTTGGAAAAAATTACTAGGCCAATTTAATTGATAACGACGAGCTTTTGGGATCTATGAAAACAGGAAACAAAACCCTGTTAAAAATAATGATTGATTGACCTATAAATTGTATTTTTGAAGGGAAGAAAACTCACTTGGTAGTAATAGAAAGAGTAGAAGGCATGAAGTGTCGTGGAGATGTGATGCCATGGGATTGAAGAGAAGGGTGGTTTAAGGACAAGGAGGAGACTGTCTTCAGTTTCAGAGCCATCGATCTCAATTTTTTATCGTGTTTAGTAATGCATGGCACTGATACGAAAGGAGAAGCACCTTTTATAACGAATTGGCTTTTGAAATCGTGTACGTTCGAAAAAGGAAATATTGTCTCTGTTTTACACTTCTCGATCTATTGAAAGAAAGTCGAACACATATAAACACATTTTAATACTTTAAATTGAGTTTCAAATTTAATCATATGAAAATGGGTATTTCTATCATAATTGTGCTCAAGCTTCTGAAAACTGCGGCAACCAGACATAGAACTGTGGGCGTGCATGATTATAAGAGGATGAATAGAAATTGAGAAAAAGGCCTTACGAAATAAAAATGTGAGGTACTGAGGTTGGCGTAATTTCTTTGAAAACGATAAAAAACGTGCATAACAGAATGGAAGGTGGATTTCAAACATGCTATTGCCACCTTCATATACCGGAGTTGCATTACGTAATATCATATTGCAACCCACACAAAATTGAAGTTGAAATATTATTAGACTCCCGCTTTGCGTCCAGAGTTGTATCATCAGAAATTACTCCATCACCATATATGCATTTTTAATATTTTATTTTCTTTTGTTATAACAATCTAAAATATGAAATCTAACTATAATGGAAATCACATATTTCACTCTTAAAGAGCATATATTATATGTTATATGTTGAAAGTCAAGCCGTTGATTGCATTTATTTGATTCTTTTGTTTCAATGTTATGTATTAGTTAGTGTATTTTGTTTTTTATGAGTTTTTATTACTTTAAGAGTTTTTTATTTCTTAGTTATTATTTTTCTTTTACAAGAAGATT